TTTAGTTATGATTTATGAGTTCTTTAGTTATGTCTCATGAGTTTTTTAATTATATCTCATGTTGTATTTAGTTATGATTTTTTTTTATTATTATTTTTTTAGTTATAACTCAGAAAATTAAAGTTATGTTATTTTTCTTTAGTTATAAGGTGCATATGGTACACACTATAATATTTTCCATAATTTTCACACATAATTTTTTTCTTGTAATTTTTTTTTTTTTTACTTGAGCACACATGATGTGTGATTGGCCGCTAGTGTGTACGTATGTGTGTATATATATAATTGTCATAAGTTTAATATAATTATCCTGATTTTTTTTTTAAATAAGAGCAAATGAAATAAAATTAATGCAAATAACGTGTGAAAAAAAGAAAAGAAAAGAAGAAAATCAGGAGTAACTTATACATTTTAGTTGAAAAAAAAAATTTTAAATAACATCGTTTTTCATCTAAATGATTAAAGGATGACTTTCTATTTCGTGCGAATTACATTAATAGTTTATATTATTTGGAGTTTGTATCACTTTGTTTCCTAACTTTTTGATTGTGACACATTTGATCCTGAATTTTAAATTTTGTTCCAAATAAGGACAATTGAAGATATCATTACTCAATTTCAAGGGCAAAGTCGTCAATTTGATAAAATAGAAACTAATTTGACAAAAAAAAATGTCAAAAAAATATTTTAAAATTTTTAAAAATTATTTTTACCCACCAAAAATAAAATTATACAAAATTGATAAATTTTTTACTCATTTATTTATTTATTTTACTAAATTAATTTTTATTATGTGTTTGGATGATAATCATGTAATGTGTAGTTGCTAGACTTTTAATGTGTAATCAATATATTTAATATATGAAATATTTTTAGTTTTGAATTTTTTGATTTAATGGATTGGTTTAATAATGACATCAAAGTTGTCGTCATATTTAAGTTTTAGAAAAATAAAAACTAATATAATGAAAATAAAAATAATCATCAATTACATGATTATCATCCAAACACATAATAAAAATTAATTAGGTAAAAAAAATAAATAAATGTGTAAAAGATTTATCAATTTTACATAATTTTATTTTTGGTGGGTAGAAATAATTCTTAAAAATTTCAAAAATATTTTTTTGACATTTATTTTTGTCAAATTAGTTTATATTTTATCAAATTGATGATTTTTCACTTAAAATTGAGTAATGGTATTTTCAATTGTTCTTATTTGGAATAAGATTCAAAATTTAAAATCAAATGTGTCACAATTAAAAAATCAAGAACTAAAGTGACACAAATCTCAAACTATAAGAACCGTTAGTGTAATTTGCCCTTCTATTTTTTGTCACACAATAGACATTAGTAAGTATCAACTTCGGAATTTTAACTCGCAATTTCACATTAAAAAGTGATGTTACACAACCACTAAGTTAAAAACCTATTATTTATTATTAAGTAACCAAATTTCATAAGAATTTTGTTTTATTCCTTTTTGTTATTTCTTAGATAGAATTTTTTTTTTATATATTTTTAATATGCAATTTTTCAGATATAGGAATTATTTTCATTAAATTACACAAATATTTTTATCATTAATTTCACTTTTAACTAAATATTTTTGTATATATTTTGTATTTATGTTTTCCTTCTAGTTAATTTGAATGGTAAATTACAAATATACTCTTTGAAATTTATTTAAAATATTGATTGCCGCTTGTAGTTTGAAAAATTACAAATGGTTCATCATTATCAGAATTTTTTATTCAACATAATTAATTGAAAAAATAAAATTTCTAATTTCTCTAATGTATAATGATAACATTACCTGAATTATGAATAGAAATAAATTTTTGACATTATAAATAACTGTTAATTGATTTGATGATTTATTAATATATTACTAAATGGAACCATTTGAATGATAACATTACCTGAATTATGAATAGAAATAAATTTTTGACATTATAAATAACTGTTAATTGATTTGATGATTTATTAATATATTACTAAATTAAACCATTTGTTATGAAATTAGAAATTTCATGGAATGGGATGTAATTCCATGACCATAGGGGCAAATCGTATTTTAAACAAATCTCATGAGGTATATTTGTAATTTACTCATTTTTATAATTATATAATATATATATATATATATATTTGTAAATTTTAACTAATTTCCCTCACACCTACGCAATGTGGTTTGGTACGGTTTGAAAGTAAAATTACAAACCAAACCATGAATGATAGATTAGCAAATAACCAAATCGTAGTTTGGACAATTATCATGCATTTGTTAATTGATTGAAGAAAAATATTAAACAATTATCATGCATTTGCATAATATAGAATACTAATTTGCATAATAATTTTCATATATACAACACTAACTAATTACACATAATTTTCATATATATGACACTAATTTGCAACAAATTATATATCTTAAATCTCTTTCACAACTGATTTTTACTTAATATTTTATTAGATAAAAAAAAGGGAGGGATTTGGTCAAAACCCCTTCATAATAAAACATTAATACATTAACGACAAACACAAAAAGTTTTCCTTGAAAAGTTTAATACATACTATTGTTACCAAAATATTAAACTTTAAAATAGTATAAGTTTTAATCTAAATGTCGGTTTTTAATAAAATTAGTATTTTTAGAATTCTCTCATCAAGATCTATCAAATAAGATCTGTATTGATTATGAAATTCTTTAAAAAAAAATTATTACCTTCTAAATTAATGTAAATAGTAACATGTTATTTTATTTGACAGTAAAATGTTACTTTGATAATATTGTCCAAAAAAAAAAAAAAGAATATTATACCTTGTCCTTACTCAATTATGCACCTCCTACTTAGGAGATTTATAAAACAAAATAAATTGGATTATCATTTTCACCAAACAAGGGTATAACAGATTTTGACTAAATTTCCCTAAAATAAATATACACTTTTTAATTAGAGCGAAGCGGGACAATCTCAAATACACATTATAAATTTCAAATTAGGAAACAAATTAACCTATAGTTAATGAGCGAATAGATGTTGATTAAGCGGTGTTTTGCACAACCCTCGGCTGCTAGTCATCATTGTTCTTCCTAATCAGTTTGAAGGGGAAAATGCAAGCCCTAACTCTCCAAACAACTAAACTAGAGAAAGCAAAAGAACAAATCAATTTACCAAAAGAAATCATTCTCAACATTTTATCAAGATTGCCAATCTGTGTTTCCAAGCAATGGCGCTCATTGCTTGAAGATTTTGGAAAAAGCATTGGACAACCCAAAATTCTTGCCAAAACCAATTGGAAAGATGAGTTATTTTCTCTTCAATCATCGACCAACAAGGTTGTGTGGAAAGCGTTCATATACCATTGCCATTACCATGGAAAAAAAGTTTGTCTGGTGATATATGAATCATTTCATTCAAATCTTCGGTTCGTGTAATGGGTTGTTGCTTATACAGATTAACGATGATTTGTTCTTGTGGAATCCGCTCACCAGGTGTTTGAAGAAAGTTCTAGGACACAAAGACATGCAATATTATCATTGTCGTGTTCTTTGTGGGCTTTGACTCCTTGAATAATGAGTACAAAGCTCTATTGAAGCTTACTCATGAGTTCGGCCATGCATTCTTCCAAGTTGGTAGTTTTCGGAGCAAAACTTGGACAGAGGTCCATTTCCCATACTGTGTTTAAAATGTGAAATCGAGGCCTGTGGTGAATGAAAACCTCCATTGGTTTGGCTCTAAGAGTAGTTCTAATTACTTACTTTTTACCCACCAAATCATTGCCTTCAATCCACAAAATGATGAATTCAAGAAGGTACCAATGCCACAACCTAAGGAAGAAGGTGGAGATATTGTCCTTGGTTTGGGAGCTCTTGATGGATGTCTTTGTATGACTCGCTTCTTCCAAGGTTGAGGTATTGGCAATGAAGGAATATGGTGTGGAAAGTTCTTGGACTTTAATGCTCAGCTTATCAAATCTCATCGGACTTCATCCCCATGATCAATTATGTACTACAAAGAATCAAGAAGTGTTAAAATTGATGTATAAAAAGAAATAGAGAATTGTATTATTGATTGATGTATATTGTTATATATTACAAATGGTGAGGGGCTCCTTATATAGGAGATGCAGTGGAGTAGGTGGTAGTAGGTGGTAGTGGTAGGTGTGTAGTAGGTGGTAGTAGGTGGTGGTAGGTTTTAACAAGAAGTTATAATGAAAATGTGCTCAAGGTCTATTATGAATTGTCTAAGTGATGAGGAAATTAGAAATTTACATGTTTGGGTTGTCCTAGTCTTTAGGATTGTTAGTTAGTTTGTTTTTGTTTACCTAGTCAATAGGAGTTTGTTGGGTAGTGCCTATTTTCATGTTATTTTAGTTATGTATTAGTCTATTTATAGGCTATTTGTTTATTAATAAAGAGTGGAAAATGTATCTTCTCTATTTTCTCTATATCATCTGCTTCCTACTGTTATTATGGTAAATTTTTCATCAGTGGTATTAGAACGAGGTTGGGGAGAGTAAGGTTGAGAGAGAAAACAGAAAAGGGTTTGTGAGATAGTACAACAGCATTTAAGGATGGCTTCTGACAGCAACTTTGTACAACCAGCTATCCCACGCTTTGATGGTCACTATGACCATTGGAGCATGCTCATGGAGAACTTCTTGAGGTCCAAAGAATACTGGACAGTTGTTGTTTCTGGCGTAGCAGAACCAACAACAGTGTTGTGTTGAAAGATGGGCAAAAGACGGCGCTTGAAAGACTGAGGTCGAAGGATCTTAAAGCAAAGAATTATCTCTTCCAAGCAATTGATTGCTCAATCTTGGAAACCATTCTTTGCAAGGACACCGCCAAGCATATTTGGGATTCTGTGAAGAAAAAGTACCAAGGTACAACAAGGGGTAAGAGGTAGCAGCTTCAAGCACTTTGTTCGGAGTTCGAAGTGCTTCGAATGAAATTAGGACAATCAGTTACAGACTATTGTTCAAGAATGATGGCAATCGTCAACAAGATGTGGATCCATGGCGACAAGACAGAGGATGTCACCATTGTTGAGAAGATTCTTCAATCCTTGACACCAAAATTTAATTTTGTTGTCCGTGCCATAGAAGAAGCTAATGATGTTAGCTTACTTTCAATTGATGATTTACAAAGTTCTTTGTTGGTTCATGAGCAAAAAATCAACTAGCAGGAAAAGGAAGAACAAGTATTGAAGGCCTTATCAGAAAATCACTATACTCCCAGTAGAACTGATAGAGGACGAGGAAGAGGTAGAGGTCAAAGAAGAGGAGGTAGAAACAACAATGATTGTGGGCAACAAAATCATCAGCATCAAGAGAGTCAATTTCAAGGAAAAGGAAGAGGATGAGGAGGCCACCACTCAACAACTTATAGACCAAAGTCAGCAGACAAGTCCAAGGTTGAATGTTACAGATGTCATAGGTATGGCCATTATAAGTCAGAATGTCAAACTAATTTGAATAGACAAAGTGGAGAAGAAACTAACTTTGTAGAAAAAGAAGAAGTGTCTTTTTTGATGGTGTCACTTGAAGGAAGAAACTCAACCAAACATGTGGTATTTAGACACTGGTTGCAGCAACCACATGTGTGGAGATAAGAAGGCATTCTCTGACTTGGATGAATCTTTTCGCAATACTGTGAAGTTTGGTGACAATTCCACAGTTTCTGTTATGGGAAAAGGAAGGGTAACAATCCAAACCAAAGGAAATTCCACCCACATTATCTCTCATGTTCTTTTTGTGCCAAATTTAAAGACTAACTTGCTTACTGTGGGTCAGTTGCAAGAAAAGGGATATGAGATTTCTATTAAAGATGGAGTATGTCAAATTCAAGATGCAAAGTTGGGCTTAATTGCTCGAGTTAACATGACGGCGAATCGTATGTTTCTACATTATCTCCACAACACCAATCATTCATGCTTCTCAGCAAAATTGAAGGATGAGGCGTGGCTATGACACTTCCGCTATGGGCATCTTAGTTTTGGCGGATTGAAGACATTACAGCAAAAGCATATGGTGATAGGTCTCCCTCAAATTACAGCTCTTTCTCAAGTTTGCGAAGAATGTGTCATTAACAAACATCGCAATCAATTCCCTCAAGGGAAATCATGGAGAGCGAAGAAGGCATTGGAGCTTGTTCATTCCGACATTTGTGGGCCAATAACTCCAGTTTCTAATGGAGGTGAGAGATATATAATTACCTTCATTGATGATTATAGTCGAAAAATTTGGGTTTATTTTTTGCAAGAAAAATTTGAAGCATTTCTAGCCTTTAAAAGCTACAAAACGCTTGTTGAGAAAGAGGTTGGCAACTCCATTAAAGTTCTTCTCATAGATCGTGGTGGAGAATATAACTCACATGAATTTGCAAATTTTTGTGAGACCTACAGAATCAAGAGACAACTTACAATAGCTTATACGCCCTAACAAAATGGAGTTTGCAAGAGGAAAAATCACACTATTCTGAATATGGTGTGAAGTCTTCTGTTAAGGAGTTGTATTCTGAAGAATTTCTGGCCTGAAACAGTTATCTGGAGCATTCATGTATTGAATAGAAGTCCTGCACTTGTTGTTCAAAACATGACACCGGAGGAAACATGGAGCGGAAGAAAACCTGTTGTAAATCATTTCAAGATTTTTGGGTGTATTGCCTATGCCCATATCCGGATGGGAAAAGGAAAAAACTAGATAACAAGGGAGAAAAATGCATTTTTCTTGGTGTTAGTGATCAATCAAAAGCTCATAAGTTATACAATCTTAGCACCAAGAAAATTGTTATCAGCCATGATGTGGTTTTTGATGAAGAAGGTGGTCATGGAATGAAAATGGTGTTAAACAAAATATTCCAACAGATTTTGATGGTAATGAGAAAGGGCAGCAGCCTATGGAGTATGAGCAAGAACTGGAAGCCACTCAAAATGCTATAGTAGCTAATCAAAACCCACTTGTAGCTGAATCACAAAGGCCTCAACGTGTTCGAAGAAGACTAGCATGGATGACTGATTATGAGGTAACTGGAGTTGACCAAGGTGATGACTCACTTACACATTTTGCTCTGTTTTCAGATTGTGATCCTACAACTTTCGAAGTGGCTATCAAAGATTCAAAATGGAGATAGGCTATGGATGCTGAAATTATAGCTATTGAAATAAATGATACTTGGGAACTATGTGATCTTCCAAAAGGGCATAAAACAATTGGTGTAAAGTGGGTTTACAAGACAGCTGAAAGAGAATTGTGAAGTTGACAAGTACAAGGCACACTTGGTGGCCAAGGGTTACAAGTAGGAGTTTGGTGTTGATTATAAAGAAGTTTTTGCTCCGGTTGCAAGGCCATCTTCCAGTTGGTGATTGCATTGGTAGCTCAAAACTCATGGCCTATCTTCCAGTTGGATGTGAAATCAACATTCCTCCATGAAGATTTGAAAGAATAGGTATTCATCGATCAACCTCCTGGTTACGTGAAACTTGGCAATGAGCAAAAAGTGTATAGGTTAAAGAAGGCTCTATATGGATTAAAACAAGCTCCACAGGCTTGGTATAATTGTGTAGAAAATTATTTTTTGAAGGTTTTCAAAAATATCCTTATGTACATACACTTTTCATAAAATTTGAGGATTAAGGGAAAATGCTCATTGTTTGCTTATATGTAGACGATTTAATCTACACTGGAAGTAATACAACCATGTTTGAAAGTTTTAAGAAATTCATGATGGCTGAATTTGAAATGTCTGATCTTGGAATGATGCATTACTTTCTTGGCATTGAAGTGTAGTGTTGCAATCTTCTACTAGAATTTTTATTTCTCAAAAAAAGTATGTGGGAGAAATATTGAACAGGTTTTAAATGAAGGATTGTAATCCAGTAAATACACCATCTGAGTTTGGTTTGAAGCTAAACGAAGATAATGAAGAAAAGAGGGTTGACAACACTCTCTACAAGTAGATTGTTGGAAGCCTAATGTATTTGACTACAACAAGGCTTGATATAATGCATGTTGTAAATGTAATTAGCAGATACATGGAGTGTCCAACAGAGATTCATCTCTTGGCTGCAAAAAGAATTTTTCAATACTTGCAAGGTACTATGGAGTTTCGGCTGTTTTATAAGAAGGAAGAAAAGTCAGATCTGTTTGGCTTTATTGATAGTGATTATGCTGGAGATTCAGATGATCGAAAAAGCACATCTGGGTATATTTTCATGATGGAGACAAGAGCTGTTTCATGGTCATCAAAGAAGCAACCTATTGTTACATTATCATCCACTGCAGCTGAATTTGTTGCTGCAACAGCTTGTTCTTGTCAAGCTATTTGGCTACAGAAGATTCTTAAAGACATGCATTTTAAGGAGGATGAGCCTACTCAGATTTATTGTGACAATAGCTCAGCAATAAAGCTTTCAAAAAATCCTGTTCTACATGGTTGAAGCAAACATATAGATGTGAAGTATCACTTCTTGAGGAATCTCAAGAATGATGGAGTCATTAATCTGGTTTTCTGCAGGAGTGAAGACCAGGTTGCTGATATTCTAACAAAGCCTCTTAAATTTCCTGAATTTCAGAAGCTCAGGAAGCTACTTGGTGTTTGTACTTCAAATGATTCAATTTGAGAGATGGTGTTTTATAGTTTGACTCTTATTAAACTGAATGTTATGTCTGGAACATCAGTTTAAAGGAGGGATTGTTAAGGAAATTAGTAATTTACATGTTTGGGTTGTCCTAGTTTTTATGATTGTCAGTTAGTTTGTTTCTATTTACCTAGTCAATAGGAGTTTGTTGGGTAGTGCCTATTTTCATGTTATTTCAGTTATGTATTAGTCTATTTATAGGCTGTTTGTTTATCAATAAAGAGTGGAAAAAGTGTCTTATTTGTTTTCTCTATATCCTTTGCTTCCTACTGTTATTGTGCTAAATTTTTCATCACTAAGGGCATACAATCCTATTAACAATTCGTATAGGGATATTCCACTTCCTGCCAATTATCACTCAATCAAAGCAGTTATATATGAGGAAAATTTGGTTACACCACCTGCCTACGATTGGGAAGAGGAAAAGTTAAAGAGGGAAAGCAACATATGCAGAAACTTTTCTTTCGGGCTTTACTCGAAAATTGAAACGGATAAGGAAAAGATGGAAATACTTGAATCTTTAAGAATATGAACATGAAAAATCTATGCTCACAAAAAGTACCGTCCACTGAATGCGAACACATGAGTGAGAATGTTCACAACTATAGATTCGAACATTCTGTCTCACATCAGATGAACAACTAGAGCTAGAAAAGGAATAGATGAAAGATAGTTAGGAAGAGAAGTTGGTGATTGTTGTGACACCAGATAGTCTTTTTGGTTCTCTATTGTTTCCTTTATAATCTTAACTTCATTCAAAGCTAATTTTTTTCTTTTTTTTTTTTTTGGAATAGTGTTTTGCTTATTTTGAATAGTGTTATGCTAAACTTATCTCCTTCTACAAATTCACTTCTTGGGGTACCTAAATGAGTTCGACTTTGTCACACACAAAGCTAGTAAAGTTTTTTTTTTTTTGATTTTTGAGAATATATAAATAACTAAAATTATCCTTTGTCCATTGTATGAATATGTATCAGAATGGGCAACCTTGTTTTTGAACTGCTTCGTCGACTTGATAATAATAACAATACTTGGACGGATTTATTCCCTTCCTTTACAGAGTAGAGTTTTGAAGGAAAAAATACAGGTAATCATATTACCTGATGCGGAAATCATTTGGATTGGATGTTTGAATTACGAGCTTCATCTAGAAAACCCTCCATCAATTGAGAAGCTATTAGAGTTTTTCAATATTTATCCACACTCCAAATTCCTAGGGCTTCAAGATGGCAGTCTCAAGATAGATGAATAGAGAGAGAATTTATTATTTTTGGTGTGTCTCCACAATGTTGAGCATGAGCCCTTATATAGGTATATATGGCAAACCATGCATACCTCATAGTTAAGCCACACCACGTGTATCACATGCCCAAGACCATGTGTCCCTCATGGTTAGGCCATGTGTGGATGGACTATGTGTACCATGTGCTCTTCAAGGTTAGGCCACATCATGTGTACCATGAGGTCATACCATGTGTATTTACCACATGGTTTCCAACAAGTTTAGATAAGCTTTTTCAATACAACAGTATCAGAAGGTACTGCAATATGGAACTTAACTGTAATGCCTGTAGATTCTGTGGCTAAAAACCCATGTTGAATTCACTCTATATTTGTTGGAATGTGTCCCACATTGCTTGGAGTTGCCCCATTTGTGCTAGTTATAAGGCTTCAGTTTCCCTTTCCTTAATACCTGGGTTTTAAGGAGAAGTGTGGGTTGGGCTTTTCAACTTGGTATCAAAGCTTAGTTGGGCCTGTGGCTAGTGGGCTATTTGTCCAGCTAGTGCGTGTTGTGGTCCAGGAAGGTGTGTTGGAATGTGTCCCATATCGCTGGGAGTTGCCCCATCTATGCTCCTTATAAGGCTCTAATTTCCATCTTTTTAATACTTGGGTTTTAAGAAGAAGTGTAGGCTGAGCTTTTCAACTTGTTTTGTTGAAATGTGTCCCACATCGCTTGGAGTTGCCTCATCTGTACTAGTTATAAGGGTCTAATTTCCCTCTCTTTAATACTTGGGTTTTAAGGCGAAGTGTAGGCTGGGCATTTCAACTTGGTATCAGAGCTATTTCCCTCTCTTTAATACCTGGGTTTTAAGGAGAAGTGTAGGTTGGGCTTTGGTTGGGCTTGTGACTGGTGGGCTATTTATCCACCTAGTGTGTGTTGTGGTCTAGGAGGATGTGTCGGAATGTGTCCTACATCGCTTGGAGTTGTCCCATTGTGGTCTAGGAGGATGTGTTGGAATGTGTCCCACATCGCTTGGAGTTGTCCCATATGTGGATGTGTCTCATATGTGCTAGTTATAAGACTCCAATTTCTCTCTCCTTAATACCTGGGTTTTAAGGAGAAATGTGGGCTGAGCTTTTCAACTATATTAAATTAGTTGATCAATCTAGCAGCAAATAGTTGTTTCTAACAAAAGCAAAGAGCCCCCATAGAAGGTGGTTATTCATTTTGAGGTTGTGAAAGAGCTTGATTTCCCAGTGGACTTTCCTGAAGTTTGTGGCATTTTTGAATCAGAATAATTCAGGCAATCTAGTCCTTCTCAATTACCATGTCATTTTAAATTTGAAAATTTTCCTTGATGATTTTGAATTTAAAATAAAAATATTTTCTAGAAAAAAGTTCTCTATGCCACCAAAACAAGCAGAACCATATTTCATCCACATTTTTGTCATCTTTTCTTTTCTATTCATAAATTTCTATCCAGATCTAATATCCAAACACAACTTGCATGTACACGTAAGCAAATATATTGTATGAGAAGTTCAACTGGACATGCACACCAGCTGAGTAGCAGTAGCACAATTCATAGCTGATCAATCCCAACTCGATCACACTAAAAATTCAAATGAAACCGACGGAAGCGTACAGAGACACATAGGCAAAGTCACAAAATGATTGACCACAACAACATTTGTACTTCTGAATGAATCAATCTCCTCCTCAGCTAGTTTCGACATGTACTGAAAACCAAGGACGGTATACATATAAAATAGCTAAAGCAAGGTCCAAGATATATGCGACTTTACCCTCACTACTACAATAACAAGCTATTTCTCCAACCTACGCCATCAGGTATAGTTTACATATATGTATATAAGAAGGTGTATACACTTGATGGGTGTGCTGCTAAATACTAAAGACGTTCCAAAACTTAAAATTGGCATGGCCCCAACCCCTCCAGTCCATCCCCCACCCTCCACCTTTGATTGCCACACCTTCTCCACCATGAAAACCTCTTCCCTGCCTCCCAACCACCACAACAACCCCTTCCCAGCTTCCTAACCACTCTGACAGCCCTCCTCTAGCGCCCCCCTACCACCACCTCCAACTGCCACACATCCTCCACCATGTAGCCTTTTCCCAGCTCTCCAACCACTGCAATAGTCCATCCCTAATCCCTACCACTGCGATCCAACCCCCAAAACCGACACCGTGAATCAACCTCTTCTAGTTCCCCACCACTGTGTAGGATGATTGTATGATAAGAAAAAACTATAATAATAAAATAAAATAAAATAACTATAATCATATTAGAGAGATGCAAAAGGAGCCAGCCATTGCAAAAAAAGCAGCAGCCCAATGAAGTCAGTTTGATCCCCATCCAAAACAGCAAATTTCTGTCAAGTGCATCATTGTTCTTAAGCATAAACAACAACACAATTTCAAAGTTAGCAGCATAAATCAGCTTAACAAAATAAATCAGTGATTATACTCTTCTAGTTACCTGCATTGTCAATTTACTTACAAAGCAGATTTTTTAAACATTTGAGCCTTAGATTGAAAGTCATCACAGTAATAAACTTTTGAAGCTTCTGGATCGTGGTGGACATTCACAAATCAGAACCAGCTACATGAGAAGAAAATAAAATAAATAAATAAACAAAAACATGTTTGAGACCGAAAATTGAACACAGGAATAGTAAAGAAACAAATAAACCACATAAAAAATGTGAAAAACTTTGCTTATTATTTAGTCGATGATACACAAACAATCAAGCCAAAAGCAATGAATCGCTTCATCAACAACAAACCAGACACCCAGTTACCAGGGGGGGTGGGGGGCGAATTGCTAGATACATTTATCAAAGACTAATAGAAAAAATAAGAATTTTCAAAGACCCAGGAGAAAAAAAACAAAGAAGAAAAAAATAAAAAAAAAAGAAAGAAGAAGAAGAAGAAGAAGAAGAAGAAGAAGAAAAGGGAATCAATAGATATCCTAGCCTATTTAAGGAAAAATATACAAGAATCGTATGTTGCCAATTGTTGAACCTAGATCATCACACTTCAAAATCGTCTGCAGTGATTGCAACATATCCATCCTGAGACACATTCTGGCTTGATTGTCAACCAAATCATTTCTCATTGTGTTAACAATTGAAGGCCAACTTCTAAATCCTCTAAGGTGATAGTAAGTAGTTCATCAGTATCTACACAGTCAAATTTCAGCCTCAAGTCCAAATTTTCTCTTGCACTAACTAGCATTGGATCCACTAAACCTCCATTCATCTCTTTACGCTGCTTTTCACTGGTTTCTCTCTCTATCAACATTGCAACAGCATCCACAGTACACGAAGAATGCAACTTAAATCCATATAATAAGCTATCTTCTGTTTGATTGTTCATCTTCAAATGAAGAATATTTGCCAAATCTACAGAACTAAAGTCGTCAAAATAGAAAAATTTAGTCACTCTTCTACAAAAGCCTTCATTAGAAGAAATCACACGCTTCATCGGTTCACTGTAGCCGGCAAATATGACTACAACTTTTCCACTGTCCATGACAGACATGATTTCTTCCAATGCTTCCAGCCCATAGTCCTTATCATCAGCCTTCTGCATTGGTATTAGTCGATAGGCTTCATCCACAAATAAAATTCCTCCCTCAGCTTCTTTGATCTGTATGCAGATGGTTTGGTAAACATTTATTCATCGAAATACAGTACTAACCATTTTTGCTACCAAAAAATGATAACATACAGTTTCAGATGTGCAATGGCATACCTTTCTCCGAGTCTTTGGTCCGGTATGACCAACAAATTCTCCTACCAAATCAGTTCTCTGTACTTCTGTTACCTTGTCAGTTGGTAAAATTCCCACCATATATAGTAATCTTCCAAGGATTCGAGCTACCATAGTTTTACCTATCACATATAAAAAAGTACCATGCCTTGTAATTAACCACATGAGATATAGGGACAACCATAATTGAAATAATTGCTTACACATTTGAGAAGTTTTTTTTTACCAAGGCACGTCCTTTGGTAATGTATTTTCCAAAACAAAGTCTTTTTAAACATAATTCCCAAAGGCAGGCCATTTTATCAAGTCTTGTATCAAATACATGATTTCAATCCACAACTTTAGAGAAGTAGTGATTTTAAAATGCAACTTTGGGCTTTGAAGTCATGTTTTGAAAACACGATTCACAAAACAACACGGGTTTGGAAAATTAGTTCAAAACAACTTGACTTTGGGAAATATATTTGAAAAAAAGAAAAAGAAAACATAGGTTGGTAAAAATTTAAGATATAAATAAAATACAACTAACAAATTAAATCTGTTTTCGCATATTAGTTTAACTATCCAAAATAAAAAGGTGTACAATATGAACCTATTGAAAAAATCCACCAGTAATGAGAGCATTCGAACAATTATAAGCACAAACTATACAAAATCTTGACCGTCATTACCTGTTCCAGGATTGCCAAGGAAGGCCATATGAGGTGGCCTTCTAGGGCCAACTTTTAGCCCAAGGGCCCTACGCCTCTCATCCAAAAGCATCCCCTTTGCCCATCTCTGGAGTTGTAACTTAAGCTCATGCAGCCCCACAATATTAGATAACGCATCTTCTAGTTCATCCATCTTAGCTTTTGTCTCACTGCAAGCTTCAATGGCTTTACGTTTTCTCTGCTCATCAAGGTGCCAGCGAAGCAGTACCCGTAATTTCTCACTTCCTGGGCCTTGAGAGAGATGATTTATAGGAGTCATGCCCTCCTGCATATAAAAGTTTTTACTAATCAGTAACATTTAACAATAAAACGTATATTAGTATACTAGAATATGATAAGTAACATAACCAACAATACATTGTCTTCAGCACTACAATCAGCATTATTCTCAAGCAATGTTTTAACAGTCGAGCAGTCTTCAGCACGGAGTGAGTGCCAAACAGCCAGGTGCAACGGAGTCATTCCATTCTGCACAGATAAGACAGAAAGTAAAATATGATACAATAATAAATAAAATATTAGAAGGTTCTAAAACAAATCCAGGTTTTGATCACAGATTCAAACAAGAAAGGATAACAAGGTGCGAAGAAAACACACGTTTGCTTTGGCTTCAACAAAAGCACCATTAGCAAGGAGCAACTGAACAGCTTCATTGCACCCATTTTTAGCTGCCATGTGCAATGGAGTTTCTCCATACTGCATAGAAACAAATTTAAGCATCAAGGATGCATAAAATAAAAATTTGAGTCAATCAACATAAGCTTCGCCTTTTATGCAAGACAAGCCCAACGGAGTTCAGATAATTGAGAAATTTTACTCACCATGTTTTTGGCCTCTAACTCAACTTTTTCTGGTCCTTGCCAATCAAGCAAAAACTTAACTATGCCAACATTGTTGTAACCAGCAGAAACATGAAGTGGTGTCTGAACCATCTGTGTTGAAAAAGCAAAAGAAGTGAACATATAAAACAAAAAGAAACAATTCAATGCGTAAACACATTCCAGGCATAGAAAGGGAAAACAAAAAAACAAAAAAAAAGCATAATGAATGGATTAGCATGCAGTAAAGCAACTCAGATCCAATTGGCTTTGGGAGCATACATCAAGCAAAAATATAAGTAGAACTAATCCTCGTGCTACTAGAATAGCAGATTTCAATGTTAAGCGAAAAGCTCATGAGATTGATGAAATTGAATACCATGAAATTTTCATATTTACAACTCATTTAGTACATTTTGTAAGATTATGCTTAAAGAGAGAGCGTTTTAGTAGTTGGGGGAGTGGTTGCATTTTGGGTTGAAAAAAGAGTTTTAAGTTTATCTTCTAATCTTTTTTCTTGATTTCTTTCTCTTTCGAATGGATTAGCATGCAGTAAAGCAACTCAGATCCAATTGGCTTTGGGAGCATACATCAAGCAAAAATATAAGTAGAACTAATCCTTGTGCTACTAGAATAGCAGATTTCAATGTTAAGCGAAAAGTTCATGAGATTGATGAAATTGAATACCATGAAATTTTCATATTTACAACTCATTTAGTACATTTTGTAAGATTATGCTTATACAGAGAGCATTTTAGTAGTTGGGGGAGTGGTTGCATTTTGGGTTGAATAAAGAGTTTTAATTTTATCTTCTAATCTTTTTTCTTGATTTCTTTCTCTTTCCTGTCTTTTCTCTCTACTTTTTGCACATCTTTTCGTAAAAAGCCAAAAAGTTATCCTAAACATACTAGTTTTTTTTAGCTCATATTTTAGCCAAATAGCCAAAAAGTTACTAAATTAGCATGTTTCCAAACGAATGGTTTGAATGAGGGTTGTGCCACTTGAGCTCATTCTCTAATACAATTTTCTTTTTTGTCCATCAAAAATTAAATAACAAATAAATAAGGGTAAATTATAATAGTAACAACCCTTGAGGTTTACATTTTATACAGATTCCCCCTCCACGTTTTGAAAATTACACTGGCACCCTTGTCATAGTTTGTCTTTTAACAAAATTAATGGAAAAGATAAAATTACCATGTCACCCTTACACACTAATGTAAAAAGACAGCAACAACCCTACCATATATATCATCTACATTCCTCATTTGAACACTAAAATTTCCCCATCTTTCTATTCTCTTAATCTCCTTCACCATCACCAAACTCCATAACTGCCATCAGCTGATTCTTGAACCTTCTATGTCGCCAAAAAATCTCAGCAACACCAGCTCCACCGCTTCAAAATGTGTCAAACTCCAACACAGTTTGTTTGGAAAAAGAGGAGTTGTCACTCACATTGGAAGGGGGTTTGCTTTGTGGCAGTGGGAATGACTTTGTGTGATTTGGATCTCATTTTGTATGATTTGGGTTTTATTTTTGTGTGATTTGGATTTTTTTTTTCTTTTGTAATTTGGGTCATATTTTGTGTGATTTGTGGGTTGGTGACAGATGGAGGTGGGAAGTGAGAGTGATGGAAGGGGATGATACAAGGGGAGATGGTGAGAGGGCTTGCAGCTGTGAGGCTGAAGCAAAGTGTTTTGCGATAATAGCAGTAGCAGAAATTTGTAGGGATTAAAACAGAGGTGGGTGGGTGATGATGACATATGTGGGGCTTCGGTAAATCGATTACTTTGTTCAATCTTGTTTGGAAATAAGTTATTTTAGTAACTTTTTGACTTTTTAGCTAAAATATGAGATAAAAAAAATTAGTATGTTTGAGATGACTTTTTGATTTCTTATGAAAAGATGTGCAAAAAGTAAAGAGAAAAGTGAATTTTTGATTTTTTTTGTATAGGTTATTGGCTTTTTGTCTTTTTAGTGACTTTTTGACTTTTAGGCTAAAATTGAATTTTGCCAAACGAGGCCAAACCACTTACCTGTTTGCTTGCCCAGTGCTCATAGTGCCATGAAACCGATGCCTAATGAACCATAGTTTCCAAGACTAATTGGAATGCGGGTATAAATCAAATTGATGCTTGAACCATCTTTCTTATTTATTCATACACACCTATATATAGATATATATGTTTATATAAATATATAATTATAATAATAATTAGATGTATATAGAAGTGATTGTTCCTTGAATGGATTACCAAAACAATTGTATATTATGTCCTTTAGTAGTTATATTTTAGTTGAATTAAGAATTTATTTGAATTTATTTTGCAAGTTGAGTTGTTACTTTCTTACTTCTTGTACACATGACAATTAAACACCATAAAGAAATTTCCATTTCATATACTCGGTATTTTCAGTGGTGTGGGTGTCATGGTAGTGTTGATGGATGAAGTGTTCATTTTGGTCTGATAATCTCATGGGTGTGCAATGATAGTGGAGGGTGGAGAGGGAGTGGTGAGCTGTATATGGATTGAACCCATTTACAAAAAGATGTGAGAAAGATAGACAAGAAAGATGGAAAATTTTGGTCTGATAATCTCAGAGGCAAAGCTGGCATTTTACAAAAAAAAATTATTGATGACATCATCACAAGCTGTTAAGTTAACTAATGGTTTACTAACAGAGGGGGTAATATGTAATGTGACCACATTTGTATTAAATGCAAACCTCAAGGGTGCCAGTGTAATTTACCCAATTAATAAATAAATAGATACTTCAATAAACAGGACGACAATATGTCCAAAGTCTGAACAATCCAAATCCATCATTGACTGACTTATATAGAAATATGAAAGAGAACCCAATTTCCAAAACCAATTGCATTGTATTTCATTTGATTCCTATTAGCTGCAATCTATTAAATACCTTAACAACCAGATCTTGAGCAGCAATCATCCAAAGAACATAATGTTACATCACAAGATTAAGCTCACCACCACAATCAAAAACCTCTTCTTTGACAACCAAATTTAACTAATTCTTAAAAGACCCATATACATATATATATATATATATATACACATCATGTTTCAAAGGGCATACAAAAACACATATACATATATATATATAGAGAGAGAGAGAGAGGGAGAGAGAGAGAGAGATCGATCTTACAACAGGGTTACGATCGTTAAGAAGAGAAGGGTTGTCTCGGAGTAACTTCTGAAAGGCGAGGAGATCTCCAGACTGAGCGCAGCCGTGTACGGTGGTGGGTTTGGCAGATCTCGACCGTTGATCCTGACTCCTCTGCATCATTCTGTTCTCGTCTCTCTCTCTCTCTCTCTCCTGTCAGACGTACAAAAATGGAAATGGGTTTCTCAGGATTTTCTTGGGGGAGTCGTTCGTGGTCAGTATGAAAATGGAAAGAAAATCCTCTCTCCCTCACCCCTCTCCGACTCTCGCGTATATAATTTACTTGTTTTCTCTGTTTTCCTTTCGGAATAATTAATTAATTAATTACAATCATTGTTTTTTTTAAAGAATTGAAAAAAAGTACCATCCATCCAATAATTTTATATAAGGTAAATTATAAATATACTTTTAAAATTTACTTAAAATATAAATTTTTCTTTATGATTTAAAAAATTATAAATAATCTCTAATCAGAAATTTTTATTTAATAGAGTTAATTGAAAAAATAAAAAGGTAAAGCACCCATAAATTTTAAAATGTGATCTTGTGAACGGTTTAATCCTCTTTTTTTTTTTTTTAATAAACCCGAAGGTCCCATTAAAGTGAAAATTACATAAAAGGATAGTCACTTACATATGGCCTTTAATAGGCCCGCGTGGAGAAGAAGGATTTATGTAGCCGACCTCATTTGATAGAACTTAAGACTTAGTTTGTTTGGTTTGATTTTTGGTAGTCACTTATATGTTTAGATTTAATTTTTTAGGGATAAAAGGGATTTTGTCAAAATGTAAAATTACACATTTGGGCAATTTAAACTATAGAAGTTTTGGATATTTTCCCATTCTAAAACAAATCCCACATTATGAACAAAAACTTAAGACTCTAATGTAACACTTTGTAGGGGGGTTCAAGGTTAGAGAGGTGATTAGAGATGCAAAACTATGCTAATGGTCGAATAATGGTGGAAGTGGCTGAAGAATGAGTAGCAGCAACTATCTGGAAGTTGGAGAGTGTGTAGCTGGGTGAGGGCGAAGCAAGTGGCTCAAGAAGAAATATATGGCAGTACCAAAATGGGCAGCATCTCTCCTAAATCCCCAAAATTCTTCTTGTTGAACCTTGGGAAATAGGTCCTATTTATAGGCTTTTCCTTGGTACTAAGAGGACACCAAGTGGCCAAATAGAGAGAAGACATGTGTCCTAGAGGATTACATGGAATATTCTACCTTGAGCCACCAGGCTGAAGGTGCCACGTGTCCCTCTGCATATACTGTATACTATCTGTTTGCCTCCGCAACTACCTTTTTTGAGCCTCAGTAAGTGTAGTTGCGATGGGAGTGCTTGGCATTGTAACTCCCTTTTGAGCCTCAGCAAGTGCAGTTATGGCGGGAGTGTTTGCCGCTGCACTTGCCTTCTCAGTTCGAACCTCAGCAATTTTTTTAAAAGAATTGAAAAAAAGTACCATCCATCCAATAATTTTATATAAGGTAAATTATAAATATACTTTTAAAATTTACCTAAAATATAAATTTTTCTTTATGATTTAAAAAATTACAAATAATCTCTAATCAAAAATTTTTATTTAATAGAGTTAATTGAAAAAATAAAAGGGTAAAGCACCCATAAATTTTAAAATGTGATCTTGTGAACGGTTTAATCTTTTTTTTTTTTCTTTTTTTTAACCCAAAGGTCCTATTAAAGTGAAAATTACATAAAAGGATAGTCACTTACATATGGCCTTTAATAGGCCCGCGTGGAGAAGAATGATTTATGTAGCCGGCCTCATTTGATAGAACTTAAGACTTAGTTTGGTTTGGTTTTTGGTAGTCACTTATATGTTTAGATTTAATTTTTTAGGAATAAAAGTGATTTTGTCAAAATGTAAAATTATACATTTGGGCAATTTAAACTATAGAAGTTTTGGATTTTTTCCCATTCTAGAACAAATCCCACGTTATGAACAAAGACTTAACACTCTAATGTAACACTTTGTAGGGGGTTCAAGGTTAGAGAGGTGATTAGAGAGGCAAAACTATGCTAATGGTTGAATAATGGTGGAAGTGGCTGAAGAATGAGTAGCAGCAACTATCTGGAAGTTGGAGAGTATGTAGCTGGGTGAGGACGAAGCAAATGGCTCAAGAAGAAATGTATGACAGTACCAAAATGGGCAGCATCTCTCCTAAATTCCCAAAATTCTTCTTGTTGAACCTTGGGAAATAGGTCCTATTTATAGGCTTTTCCTTGGTACTAAGAGGACACCAAGTGGCCAAATAGAGAGAAGACATGTGTCCTAGAGGATTACATGGAATATTCTACCTTGAGCCACCAGGCTGAAGGTGCCACGTGTCCCTCTGCATATACTGTATACTATCTGTTTGCCTCCGCAACTACCTTTTTTGAGCCTCAGTAAGTGTAGTTGCGATGGGAGTGCTTGGCATTGTAACTCCCTTTTGAGCCTCAGCAAGTGCAGTTATGGCGGGAGTGTTTGCCGCTGCACTTGCCTTCTCAGTTCGAACCTCAGCAAGTGCACTTGCGGTAGTGAACCTTACTGCTGCACTTGCTTTCTCAGTTATATTTGGCCAATACATGCATTCTCAGGACTCCATTAGTCTGCTATCGACTACGTTCGTGTTCACTTCAGCGAAGCTTCCACCTTTAGCCACCTAACCACAAACTCCCTAGCTTTCCAAGGTGAAGGCCACAGCCAAGCCTGTTATCAGCCATGCCGTGCCTTAATACCAAGCCCAAGGGGGCTTTCTTAGTTCTGCCTGTGTGACTAAGGCAGGTGCATGACCTGGATGATGGAAATTGAGTCCCTTATGTTCGAGCTACCCTGCTCTCATCTTCGCAGGGTTACAGCAGTAAACTGGTGTCTCTAGGCCTAGTATCAACTCCAACCACTAAGTCTTGGGGCTTGCTATCGGCACTGAGTTATATGAACTTTGGGACTGCTATCAGTGCCAAGCATTAGCTTCTACTTGCAAAGGGAGGCCTCTTTCAAAGGCTGCTATCACCTTTGTAGGACATTTCCTCTGCAACTTAATTGCTACGGTCGTAGTTGCTGCGGTAGTCATTTCATGTGGCAAGTTTAGACGGTAGAACTGAGAATATTAGAGATGGCGGTGCCGACATAATGCCTCTACAACTTGGTCACTGCAAGTACTGCCTCGGCAACTTAGTTGCCTCGGTTTTCTCCTTTCCTCAATAACTCTAGATAGCTGTGGTACCGACATTACTTGGAATAGCAGCGGCACGGAAGAAATTAGAAATGGCGGCGCTGAGACAAAGTGCCTCCGCAACTTGGCTGTCCCAAGTGTTGCCTCTGCAACTTAGTTGCTTCGGCCTTTCCCTTAACAACTTCAGATGGTGGCGGAACCAAAGACATTAAGAATGACGGTGCTGAGGCAAAGTGCCTCAACAAGTTTCCCACTACACATGTTCCCTCCGCAACTTCACCGCTGCAGGTGTTGCCTCTGCAACTTGACTTAGGCATATTCCTTTGTGGAGTCCATTTGGATCCTTGGTGGGTCGAACCTGCTTCAGCCCACTGTTGGCCCATTTTTCTTGGGCTTTGGCCCATGCTCCTTTTCCATTCCTGATCGCCTCTTTGGGGCGACCTCAGTGCTTAGGCCCATACTTAGTTTGGGGTTTAATTTCTGACCATCTACATTTTGCCCCCTGTGCGCGTGGGGGACACGCTCCTAGTTTCCCGCACATGCATGATATCAGCAAGTAACCCAAAGGTAGCGTCAGTTGGGTCAGAAGTTGCGTCGGCTCTAAAAAGGTGCCCTTTTAACTGTCAGGTCATAATGGCCTAGGGAAGTGTATTGGCGCCCTTTGCTATTTTTCTTTATAAATAACGCCCTTGGGTCCACTGGTCCCCTACTTCTACCCAATATACCTTTTTGTCTTCTTGTCTTCTTTTCTTCTTTGTTCCTACTTTCCAAAGCCTTTTTTACCTTTCTTTATTCTTCCTCATGGCAAGCATAAGATTTCTTCCCGACAATGCTGCCCTACTCTCTAGTAAGTGGAGGAGGGCCCCACACTTCGGAGGGCTGGCTAACCTCTTCTGGAAGGCAGTTGACTCTTTCATTCCTGATGCCCTTCCTCTGGATGAGCCTCTGATTCCTTTTAGGGAGGCTACTTTGGATGATGCGGACATGGTAAACCCAGTCTTTGTGTTGCGATTTGGCGTAGAACGTGGCGACTTTCCACATTCATACATCTACTATCGCACTCATTCGGGCCCTCCAGCAGATTGGTCCGTTTGGGTCGATGACATTATTGCGGATGGTGGCTTCGAGCAGCGGTTGCGAGATGTCCATCTTTTCAATGCCATTTTGATTTCAAGGGAGTTATCAATGTGCAATGTACAGACCAACACTGATATGGTTGTCTCCCGCTGGAGCTACGACACTTACACTTTTGCCTTGGCATGGGAGGAGATAACCCCAACCCTGGAAGATGTTGTTGTCCTTCTACACCTGAGCACTCGTAGAGATCACCCTTTTGACCCAGTGTCTCTGACTCCTGCAGAGCAGGTTGCCGTCACTACCCTCTAAAGTATCTTTCGGGAGGTGCAGAAGTTTGGCTCCTAGTATGACCTTAGAACTGGGGAACTGCTCTAGGAGAGACCTAAGAGGGACAAAGCCACCTATCTTTCCTGGTTGAAGCATTTCTTCAAGGACCTGCAACCAGTTGTAGGCGACATCACAGAAGAGAGTCGCGACTCTGTAGTTGGGTCGGGCTACCGCGGCGACACTACAAGAAAAAGCACTTTCAGCGACTAACATTTTGGTCGCTAAAAGTACCATATTTGGTCGCTAAAACCTTTTCGCAACCAAAATATGTTGGTCGCTAAAGCCTCGTGATAGATAGTTTTCTCCACCAAAAAAGCCTTTGGTCACTAAAAGTGACCATTCGCGACCAACTTTTTTGGTCGCAGAAAGTCCAATTCATATTATTCAAAAGGGAATTTTTAGCGACCAAAGATAAGTTGGTCGCCAAAAGTTAGCGCCTTGACCCAAAAAAAATAATTCTTTTGTGCTGCCTGGGACTTGAACTCCCGACCAAGGAGTCACCATGCACTAAATCCACTCTGCCAATAACATTCTTCTTGTTCATATTTGGCAGAGAAAATATATAACCCATAAAAATTGGGTTATATATTATTTTATAAAACTTTTAATGCCTAAACAGAAAAATAGCATGTAATTACAATAGTATCCGTTTTTTGTAAAATTTATCCCGCCATAACTTTCTGCGACCAACTTTTTTTTTAGTCG